TGCTAGTGAGATGACAGGCGGCTGGTGGGATCCCTCAGTAGCATCAGGGAAGAAGCTGGCCACAGGAAAGGCCAAGGCATGATTAGACTGTTGGAACTTTTAACCACACTCTAATTTCCAGGGAGGGGAGGGAGCTAAAGGTTAAGCTGAATGCTGATGACGAATGGTTTAAGCCATCAATCTACACCATGAAGTTCCCATAACAACCGGAAAGGACTGTGTTCAGGGAGATTTTGGAGAGTGGAATCTGTGGAGAGTCCTAAGGCATGGCTCATTCCTCCCCATATCACCTTGCCCTGTGCGTCTTTGCATCAGCATTCTTTGGAGCATCCTTTATAATAAAGTGGGAAATGTAAATAAAATGTCTCTGTGAATTCTGTTCATTTGTCCTAGCTAAGGAATGGAACCCTAGGAAGGGGTGTTGGGAGCTCCAATTTAGAGTAGAAGTATAAATGTCAAGCTGTATTACTAGTACTTGTGATTAGTGCCTGAAATGTGAACAGTTTTGTGGACCAGATCCATTAGCCTGTGAGATCTGCTGCTGTCTTTGGATAGATAGTGTCAGAATTAGGTTGAATTAGAAGAAACCTACCTGGGCTCCACCATGAACTGTCTGGTTGTTGGTGTGGAGAAATCTGTGCATGCTCCTCAAGAAAAGAGACTTTGATTTTTTAACTCTATTTTCCAGAGGCAAATTGAGAAGGGGTGGTGCTCTGCAAATTGTAACACAAGGAGTGATTGCAGTGTGGGCTGCTCTAGAAAAGCTGAAGGGGTGTTGATTGTCTGTTCAATCAACTTCTAGTCTTCTGTGGTGGTGGGTGGTGTGGGTCTGATGATCATATTCTGGTTAACATGTAGGTTCTGTGGCCATGGAAATACCCTCGATAATTTATTTTGTAAGTCCAGTCACACATCAGTTAATGGTGAGTAAATTGAAGAAATGAACCTGGGTAATTTCAACAAATTACTTGAGTGATTCCATCCTGGAACATCACAGGGTGTGCGTACAAATTTGATATAGGTGAGTCACTTGATGTGGCATCCTGATACCACCAAAGACATAGTAAAGACAAGGTCTCTGAAGCTGTTGTAGCCTACCAGGGCACAGCATTTTTTGTTTTGTTTTGCAGTCCTGGGAACCTAACCCAGGACCTTTGTAATGAGCTACATCCCCTGCTTATTCTTTTATTTTAAATTTTGAGAAAGGGTATTGCTAAGTTGCTAAATTGATCAAGGCGGGTTTGAATTTATAATTCTCCTGCCTCAGCCTCGCAGAGTGCTAGGATTATAGACGTGCACCTCCATGCCTGACTAGTACAGCATTTTTATAACAAACTTTTTTTATAAGTAGAAGGAGTAAACTCCAAAATAATGATAAAATTATTGTATAGTAAATACATGGACCGGTAACAGTTGTTTATTGTCATTATCAAATATTGTATCCAGTAGTTAACTGAATGTACTATATCTTTATGTAAGTGGTAGTGAAATGGGTTTGTTTACACCAGCATCACTATAAACACAAGTAATTTGTTGTGGTATTACAGTATAATGCGCACTATGTCATTAGGTGATAGGAATTTTTCAGCTGCATTAGTTTTGGCCTGGTGTTAACTGAAATATTATTATTATGAGTTGTATCACAATGGTTTGTTTCTAAGTAAAGATCAAGTATAGACTAAAATAAAGAGGGATGGGAAGATTGGAAAGTTGCTATTACGACAGATGCAATGAGATGTTTTTTAAGGAAGAAGGGAAATGATTCTTTTTGAGTAGGTGCTAAAAAGGGGTAACTCTTAGTAGCTGTACCACTCCATTTTTTATTACTTGTTTAGCAAACTCTTTTATTATACAGGTTGGATATCTCTAATCTGAAAATTTGTTGCTAAAAAGCTTTGAAATCCAAAACCTTTTGAGTGCTGACACAACCACCACCAATGGGAAATTCCATGCCAGGATACTCCATTTCTGGATAAAATTATTAAAAGTAGTGTAAATTATTTTTTAAAAAGGTGTAGCTCACGGTTAGGCTGCTTGCCTGGCATTTGCAAGGCCCTGGGTTTGATCTACGGTACCACACACATGCGTTATTTAAAATTACATGCAGGCTTTATGTACAAGGTATATATGAAAGACAAAGGACTTTTGTGTTTAGACGTAGACCTCATCACCAAGATATATCACTATTTCCATGAAAATGCTTCAAAATCTGAGGAAATCTGAAATCCAAAACACTTCCAGTCCCAAGCATTTCTGATAAGGGATACTCAATATGTACTTAACACTAAACTTGTGTGAGCTGGTATCTGTGTTATGACACCTACAAAATGAATTAATTTTTCTTATAAAAGCTTCAAGAGTTTATGCAAATCTTCCTTGTTTCCAAACGGCCAAAGATTTCTTTACCAACATTGCAACAAGATAATTCTTGTATTTTAGTCCAAAATCCATACACAATTGCTTTGGTTGACTCACACCAGTCAGTTTGGAACCAGCCAGTTAGCTCCTGATAAAAATAGTCACACTAGCTGTTTTATAGACATCTTTTTAATGTTTTCCTTTAAAACAAATAATCCCAGTAAAAGAGAGCAAATGAAATTACATGGTAGCTTAAAATAGATATGATAGTCCTGATTTATTTGTTTTCAGGAAACAGACAATTGCATTGTTGTACATGACTTTTAGAACTGATCACTGAAATGCACATAATTATATTAAATTAAGTTTCTCTTACATAAACACAACCAGGTTATTTAAGGCAAAAAAAAAAAAAAAAAGAAAAAACAGCTTCTGGGGAAATAACACATTCACACTGTTTCCTTAATCTCTTTGAATGCAGCGATCCTTCTATTTAATTGCCCAGTTTTCTTCATCATTCATGGTTTTGCTGTGCAAGTGGGTGTGAGAGTCAGTCGCTTTGTGCCTGATTTCCGCCTCTCTATTAAGCTGGTTTGACTTTCAAATTAAGAACCTGCAGAATCACTAAATCAATGGGAGGCAATAAAGGCACCTTGGAACGGGAGATAGGGAAAATGCCTTACTTTAAACAAAACTTGCAATCCACAGATGTTAATTTAGTTGAACAAATGCAAACATGACGTCAGACATAGCAAAATTGCTAGTGAACCTCATACACAGGGTATTTGTAATGAAGCAGTCACTTGTTTTTCCCTACGTGTTGAAGGATGCAGACAAGCTCCAACTGAGAAAGCCTGCGGCTACTCAGTGCTCAGCTAAATTGTGCTTCAGGACACCATCTGGATTGACCAATGGGACTTCGCGAAGTGTAAATGGGACACCCTTTTCGTTTCCATGGAGAGCGACACAAACAGAACCTTACAGTTTTCTCAGCATCTTTAACCACCGGAGAGTTTTTGTGCTAGCGTGAGATAGAAATGGTCATGGCTTCAATAGATACACGTTTTTCACAACATGGCTTATCACATTTTGCTACGAATAAGACCTCAGTGAAGGGTGGGGACTTTATTTCTCAATCTTCAGTCTCCGGCAAAGCTGCATGAACTATACTATCAGAGGTCTAATGAGGCCTCACAGGGGGTCCCCAGTACATTCAGAATTCCTGCTGCCAGTGGGGTTTGACCCAAGACAGAATATGTCCAAGAATCAGTGCTACCTGAAAGTTGTCGCCTCTTTCCTCTTTCTTGGCTACTATTTGGAGAGACCTGCCAAGCACGGGGGAGGCGTCTGGCTTTCGGTCAGTGTATGTGTGTGTGCATGAGTGTGCGCAGGTGTGTGTTTATGTGAACAATGTCCTCGGGAGGGTGTATCACAATTTCAGTTTAAGCAGAGACATGGCCGGATGAGCAATTGTATTTAATAACTGGCTCGCCTTCTGTGGTTGGAAAATGAAAACAATTAAATGCTTAGCAAAATCTTTTTAACTCTTGGCGATCTCCAGCAGCCAAGAAGATTCTGAATCATACGCTCCAGGGGAGTGTGTGAGAATCCAAGTGGGATAGGAAGAGGAAGCTGGTAAAATTGCAGTTTAGCAAAAAGGGACAAACATTTTAGGAAGCTGAGAAGCACATTTTAGGTAGAGAGGATAAATGGTTTACTTGGAGATGGAGGCTGGTTCAGGTCTAGTGAAACTGTAAAGCAGGATCCTGGCTGCACACATCCAGCCAGGAGAAAGCTGGGACGGGTGGATTTCAGGGCCTCCTTTCTTTGAGCAGCCTGCTGCTATGCCTGCTTCCTCTCCCTGGCTGCTGGAGATATTTTTCTGGTGGCAACTGTGATTCTTTCTACAGAACAATCTCTTCTCTTCTTGAGTTCTTCTAGGGTTTAGCTGAATTGAAACACTATCTCTCCTCTCCTTGCTTTGTTTGTGCCATTAATTTAATATTTTATTTTGTTTTTTGAGACAGGATTTCACTATGTAGTCCAGGCTGGCCTTGAACTCATTATGTAGCCCAGGCTGACCTCGAATTCACAGTGATCCTCCTGCCTCACCCTTCCGAGTGCTGGGATTACAGGAGTGGGCTACCAAATTTGGCCCAAATTCTGACATTTTGAGATAGCAAGGCTGATCTCTAACAAGCAGCCAGTGTTGCTTGTCTCTGAGAAATGTACTTTTCATTTTCCCTTGGTCTTTTTGCTGCCATGATATACTATTAAGTGTTTTTATTTGCAGACCTTGCCAGTGCCATCTGGATTTTAATTATAAACATTTATACCAGCAAACATATCCAGCAATTTCAGACTTGGGACAACTTTCTTGGGAAGAATAGAATGTGTTCATTATAGTATAAAAAGTAAAGGAAGTTTAGTTTTAGCCTTTCATATGCAAAATGTATGACATAATAGTAAAAGACATTCAGGGCATATTAAAAAATAAATACTTTGCAAAATCTCTGTCTGTATATAAGAATAAGGGATGTATAGGTAGTTCAATTCCCTAGCAAGTATCATTTTCTAAAAAAAAAAATCTAGTTTTTTTGTTTTGGTTTCTCTTTCCTTCAGTCTTAGAAGGGGAAGTTGGCTTTTTTTTTTTTTTTTTTTGAGCATTGCCTACTTCCTGGTGCTGTGTCTGGATTCTTTCTAAGCTTTTTCCCTCTCTGTCCCACTTCAATATCCCTTTTCCCATGGCACTACCTGTATGCTAGGGAAATGAGAACTGCCTCCCACACCTGCCCTTCATGGGGCAGGATGGCGTGAGCCGGAAGTGGAAGGCCTCACAGAGAAACCAGCCCAATCACACCAGCTTTTTTTATACACTTGTATAGAAGGTGACAATTTTCTGACCGTGCCATTACGGAATGTGCTTCCACAAAGTCAAATATGTCAAATAGCGAGTCTGTTCACCCTACTGGCCCTGAATTCCATCGTTTGCCCATTTTTCTAATTGCAAAACATTCTTGTCATAAAGGACAACGTGAAAATGATGTGCAAAATTGCTTGCCACAGAGCTACATCATCAAGAGCACAGAAAAGGACATTCAAATTACATTAATAATAAAATGACCAGGTGGGAACAGGTTGGCAAAAATATCTTGATATAAGCAGCTGTTTCTGTTATTCCCGAAATCTGCTTTACTCGATACACTGTTAGCAGCAGTTGATAGCCATTATGTTTAAATATACATGATGACCTAATTTTGAAAATGTATTTTGTATTTAGTCACAAAGCAGAAACGCCTGGAATTTGAAGGTATTTACTCCCACATTGCAAAATATAGTGTCCAATCTTCTAAATGATCTAATCTTGACATTTTCACACACCCTGTAGCATGAGCAATGTTTGGAATCTCAGGATTTTAAACGCAAGGTACATTAGTAAATGTGAATGTCAATGCACCTTGGAATCTCAGCCATCCCTAAACATGCATTTTCATGCAATTAAAAGATAACAGGCTTATAAACTGCCTCTCACGTTCTTTCTTGCAATTTCAACTTTTTAGGAGGGCTTTCAAAGTAGTTCATGCAATGATATGTATGGCTAAAGGAACCACTATGTTCAGAAAGAAGACGAAGAACTTATTTCAGTTTGACATGGGGCAAGCTGAGGGCATCTGAACTTTCTCCTGCCTTACAAATGCTCTGAGATGATCGTGATCTTCCAGTCCTTAGAGAGTCCGCTGCAAAAGCAGCTTCCTTGGCGGGCTGCGGTGTGCCGTCAAAGGTATCCGTCTCTGTCTCTTCGGCACATACCTCCTCATCAGTTATGAACAATTTGGATTCCCTCCATTTGGGGTAAAAATCTTGGCTGCCTCTGGAGCCGCTGGACTCACTCCCTGAAAGCTGCAAGCTCAGTTCCTCTGTCGACCTGATCAGGTTTTGTACAGACAGAGATTTGCCCAAGTCCTTGGGCACCGAGGGGAGGACAGACAACAGAGCTTCTCCTCCGGTGTCAAAGCTTTTCCTCAGAGAACGGTCCTTGGTCAAGTTGGACTGAGCAACCTGAACATTTTCCTTGGAGGAAACAAGGCAGGTGGTGACATCAGAAATGCTTTCCTGTAAGCCTGCGGGGTTTGGGTGCAAAGTCTCCGGCCGGGGCAGATGCTTGATGGCCGGGAGGGGAGGTGGGATCTGTAGGGTTGTTGGGGCAGCTGGCTTGGGCGCCGCGCTTATTTGGTTTGCAATGTTGCTGGCTGCCACGGCGGAGCCGTCGCTCTGACTCAGTGGCACCTGTGTCACTTGGCTGTGCATAGGAGAGCTGAGGGCGTAGAAAGTCTGAGCACTGAACTCATTGGGCGTCAGAATGAACTGCAGGCCCCGCGAGATGTTGGCACTAGCCGACCTGGTTAAGCAGCCACTGTTCTGCGTGGAGCTGGACAGGTCTTTGCTATCCACCGGGCTTTGATAGTCGGACGTCTGTTCACATTCAAAGGGCGGAATCTGGAAGGAAGCCAAGGTGAGGGCAGAGGCAGAGCCCTTGCGGAGGACCTGCTGGTAGATGTCCAGTAGGCAGTCCAGCTTGGACTCAATGGACTGGACCTGGAGCAGGGAGATGGACACACACAAGATAGCCGGTTATTAAGAACTGATGTCGTTTCTGGAATTAAAGAAAAAATGAATGAATGTGTGTTGAAACAATTGAGACAATGAGTATAAATTGCAATGCAGCTTTGACTTACTATGAAGGTCACATCTTTCATGAGGCGGCCAGAGGACCAGATAGGAGAGAGGGGTCCCATGGCTTCTGTACTGCCTCCTCTGCCACTCCTCCTTCGCTTCTTTAAAATGGGCATTGGTGCTCTAAGAAGCCATATCAGCGCTATCAAATGCAACCTGCCATCCCGGTCAAATTGCCTTTCCTGACTCTATGACTGTCTTCCTGGAACTCTACTGAATTTTAGTAAGGAACCTATTATAGAATGAATAAAGGCTGTGTGTCAACCCAGGTGAGTCTGGCTTTAAAAATAAAGGTATAAATGCTTCAGAATTAATACTTGGAATGTTTGTGGTTCCATTGAGAGAGCAATTTGATTTCTAAAAAATTATATTTGTATGAGAAGCGACAGCCTCAACGTTAACAAATACCCAACGCTGGTCATCATTATGATAAGGTTTTGTCTTACCTTAAAAAAGGGTGACCTCAAAGAGAGACAGTGCAAATAACCCAAACACAAATGAAATACAGATCTTTACTCTTTTACTATTGGAAATCTATAGTTGCTCCCAGGGAAGTGTTCACTGAAGAGATAAAATATTCTATGGCCTAAGTGGCATGCCACAGGTGCCTTGCAGACACTGTCTATACACAAGGAAGATTTAATTTCGTTCAGTGTTTTCATTTTACTCCTTTAAAATGTATTAATCATGAGGACACACCCACTTGCTTGTAACTAACTTTGATTAAAAACAGACTGGCTGGAGAGATCCTGAGTGTAGCTGAGTGGTACCTGTTTTTCAACCTTGACTACGCGGCCGAGCATGCTGAGGTCATCTGCCGTCTCCTGTTCTGCTGTGATTTTCTCCCGGCTCTTCTTGTCTGACGTGATTTGCCCCTTTCCAAGAATCTGATCAACACTACCAGAGAAAGAGGATATCTGATTACATGAACTGAAAGTGCAGATTGCCTTGGCCAAAGCACTTTGCAAAGAAAAATTAAGTCTCTTTAATTTATTGAAGATGGAATAAAAGCAAGTGGGTCCCAGCTGATGATCTTATTTTTAACACGGATTATACATAGGTTAATTTTCTCAGAATTCTGGTTCCATGGTGAATACTCTCATAGGTGATCTTCTGGAGGCAAAGCAGTCCTGGATATTCACGACAGACCAGATAGTTCTGAACTCAACCACTTCAAAATATGAAAAAGTCATAATGCCAGTAATTTTGCATCAATAGAGCAGATTACTCAATGAGGATGTCCTGCATATCTGATATGTGGATGATAAGCAGATACGAAAACTGTTGCTTTTTAGAATTTGAATTGGGAGAGTATGCATGAGCTAGAAAGTAAAAAGTAACTGTAAATTCTGTAGCAGTCTAGGACCCAGTCATTGTATTTTTTTTTTTTTTTTTTTGTCTTTTTGAGACAGGGTCTCATTATGCAGTTGAGGTTGGCCTTGAGCTTACTTTGTAGCCTAGGCTGGTTTCAAACTAGCAACAGTGCTCCTGTCTCAGCCTCCCAAGTGCTGGGATTACAGGCCAGCACCACCACGCCCAGCTACTTATAATTTTTTTCATTTGTTTTCTCAGTCCTTGTATTTTAAGAACTGTTTGATCTCCAATGCTGATTATTTGTGCCTGAAAATACAGCAACTATTTTTAAAAGAACTTGAATTGGCTAAATATTTGACTTGAAGAAGATATAACCAATCACATGTGGTTGAAATGTATGTATCAAACTCATTCATTTTAACTACTCAGCAAGATGCTTGCTGGAGGAATGCTATACATCTATCACTGCCCGTGACACTAATAAAGGACTGCCTTAGTGGAGAGCAAGGGCCACAAACTTGCAAACCAACAGCAATCTAGGGGCCAAGAATCAACTCTCCAATCATCTCTCCAACTCTCCCAAGGTTAGGGGTGTCTCATGCATTGTAATAACCTTTAATTATGCAGGTCAGAAAAGAGAAAGATCTGTCTTCATGAGCTGCATGGTTGGGTAAAGATTAATGGAGGAGATAGATTAGCTTATTGCTGCAGGGCTCATATACCGGAAGCAGCAACAGCAGCAATAATTCAAACATCAGTAAGAGCCATTGGTCTTCACTGAGCACTTTATACCCAGGTGATTACATCTCATATATTAACTGTCTCAATCATCTGGATAAGCCTGTGAGCACAAAGAGCTAACAGTGTGCATTTTCAAGAGGAGGAAACTCCATTGGAGGGTTTGAATGTCTAATTTACATATATGTTAAAAGCAGAAGTCCAAGGATTTAGCTCAGTGGTGCAGCACCTGTGTGGTGAGAGTGAGGTTCTGAGTTCGATTCCCGGTACCTCATTCCCCAAAAAAGTGGAAGTCCAGTTGCCTACTACAATCAAATTTATATATGTAGACTTTAAAGACTTTGCCTACTAAAAAGAAGTGCCTCCTAGGTATAGTCATTTCCATGCACCTTCCTTTACAATGAATAGCGTTTTCATTGCTTACCGAGTTTGAAGGCTTTTAATTCTACACAGCATGTCCAGATGACCAGCAGAATATTGTTCAATGACATCTTTTACATCATATGGGCGCAATGTTTCCTTAAACTTTCGTTTTGCAACGTGAAATTTCATAATTCTGTAGGAATAACATATTACACATTAATCTTCATAATGTTGGTAAAAGAAGTTACCAAAATGAGTTTCTGGTAAATATAAGAAATTCTGGAGGAAAAAAAAATCAAGCCCCAAATTATTTGAGGTGCCTACAGAAATTTTGTATATAATCCTTTGTTACAGAGGATGATTTAGGGCTGGAGATATAGCTGAGCGGCACAAGTGCCTGCCTGGCAAGTATGAGGTCCTGAGTTTGACTCCCAGTACCAAAAAAATAAAATAAAATAAAAGAAAGGACAATTTAAAGCCTCTTTTTGAGACATACCTTAAAAGTACGAAAAAAGTACAAAAGCAGATTTAAAAAGTGACTGAATTATTGTGTTGTACTTTTTAAAAGGTCACTGAAACCCTGAATTTAAATCAGAGTGAAAATGTAATCTACCATTTCCATGTGATCCTAGAAATTCAAGGTACAACACATAGTGCAACAATTCTTAAAAAATAGAAAAATCAATATGCATGTATCAATATACCAAAATGAATCACATTGTTCTGCATGACTAATATGAAATATGAAACTTCATAAAATTAATGATTAAATCAAAGAAACCTAATATTTAAATTAGACTGTGTAGCCTTTTTGCAGGTAAAAGTTATGCTATTGGAGTTTTTCAGCTAGTAAACGGTTCATAGACTATTATCACATTTATAGATAGCAGGCTGGGAGGCAGTCAACTAGGCTTTAAGAACCAAAATTGTCCCTTGGTGAACAATGGAAAGATTAGGGTGATTAGAGTTCAGAAAGATATGGCTATTGTCTGTCTTAAACTATAGCTTATTTCATGAATCTAAATTCTTTTATTAGTTATAAAGCCCAAATTTATCTTGTAACTGTATTAACTTCAAATTAATTCCATCCAAGCTATTGCTAAATCACTTATTATTAACATTCTTACTCTCTCTTTCTACATTTTCATTACCAATCTTCTCTTGACTCAAGACAGGTTTTGGTTTTCTTTCCCCAAAGATATGTGAGCAAAAATAATCAGCGGAGAGTTAAAGAAATCCAAATTTTATCCTAAACTCTTGAGTATTTCACTTTGGTTTCAAATTTGTTTGCTACCGTTCAGATTGCACTAGGGTGGAACTCAGTTTCCTTTATCCAAGAAACTGAGAACAGCACCTAACCTGTGATATTTCTGGCCCTCAGTGATATGCAAATGTATGCTCCTCTACATCCGACTGTCAGTTAGGTAAAGGCAGAGAAAGGTTATCTTCTATTCAACAGCCCGTGCTTGTGATGGTCAACTTTGACTGTCAACTTGATTGGACTGACAGATGCCTAGGAAATTAATAAGGCACACTTCTGGGTGTGCCTGCTTCCTGAGGCTACTGTCTCATGATGACTGTGACTTCACCAGTGGATTCACCATCACTGCGATCATGCTTGGACAACATTACAAAGAAGTGGGCCTCCTTGAAGGGAATGGGTTGTGGGGTGTCCCACAGGGGAGAATATCTGGCCCTGTCCTCTCAGATTCTCTTCTCTTCCTTTGCTCCCTGGCTGTCGTAAAGTGCTTCACCCTGCCGCTCTTCTGCCCTGACTTTTCTGCTTTGCTTGAATCCCGCTAATAATGAAATTTTGCCACCGTGAGCCAAGATAAATATTTCCTACTTGAAGTTGTTTTTATCAGGCTTTTGGTCCCAGTGACTAAAAGTAGACAAATACAGGGCTTAGTAAAAGTTAGCTTTTGATCCTCCCACAGCTCCTACTACTATTGTTACCACTACTATTCTGTAACATCGTGTGCTCAAAGCTTGGTGCATTTTCTGACACAGTAGAAGGAAACATTTGCAGAATAGGAGGAAGAAGGAAATAAAACGATAAAGAAAACACTTTCCAGTCTGGGTCATCGTTTGAATAAAACTAGAAAAAATAATCCAATGGCCCGGAACACTTCTTTGCCATCTTCAGAGTAGCTAATGATGCTAGAGTAGGCAGGAAAAAATTATCTTTATACATCCCTCTGTAGTTTGTGGGTTCTTATTGTGGTTACCAGTGCTTTCAGTCATATCAGTCAAGATTTTTCATTAACATGTAATAACTGTTCATGTTGATGGGGTACAGTGTGATATTTCAGTATACATATACACACACGTACTGATCAGATCAGGGTAATTAATGTTTTCATCTCCTTATCATTACTTTGTGGTTGGAGTCTTAACTACTCTTTTCTGTTTGTTTGTAAAATGTGTACTAGTCACCCCACTGCTCTGTTAGATTTTATAGCTCATTCTTTCTAACTATGCTCAAGTACCTGTTATTCAGCTTCCATTCATCTGCACTCCCTCTAACTTCTCACCTTCTAGCAATCACTATCATTCATCCCAACTAAAGTTTCATTTGTTACCACTGGTAGATGAGAGAGGACATGTGCTACTTGTCCTGATGTGTCTGGCCTACTTCACTTAATGTAATGTGCTCCAATTTCACCCATTTGTTGCAAATGATGGGACGGCATTCTTTTCTAAGGCTGAATTATATTCTATTGTGCATATGTATCGCAGTTTCCTTATCATTTCATCCACCAATAGGTGTCCCACTGTATCTATCAGTATCTATCTATCTATCTATCTATCTACCTACCCATCTTTTATCTCTATATCTATGTATCATCTATTTCTATCTCTATATCTGTCTATCTATCATCTATCTATCACCTATCTATCTTCTATTTTCTATCTCTACATCTGGCTATCTATCATCTGTCTATCTATCTGTTACCTATCTTCTATCTATCAATCTGTTGAGCAATCTATCTATCAATCTATCTCTCTTCTATCTCTATATCTATCTGGCTATCATCTATGTATGTATGTATGTATGTATGTATGTATGTATGTATCTATCCATCCATCCAGAACCTAGGTAGCTGGATCATGTGGTGATCTATTTAGTCTCCAAGGAGCCTGCACACCATCCTTCATAGCGGCTGTACCATTCTACATTCCCACAAACTGTATATGAGGATGTCCTTTTCTCTACATTCTCATCAGCATTTGCTACTTTTTGTCATTCTGATCACGGCCATTCTAAGCGGGGGGAGTGGAGATGATATCTCACTGTGGTTTTGATTTGCATTTCCCTGATCAGTAATAAAGTTGAGAATTTTCTTTTCATAAATTTGTTGGCCATCGGATTTTCTTTTGAGACGTGTTCCTTCATATCCTTTGTTGTCTTTGTATTTTAAAGTTAAATTATTTGGAGGGTTTTCTTGCATTTTTTTATATGCTTTGTGTGTCCTATATTTTTATCTTTTGTCAGTTTGCAAAATGCTTTCCTATTTTCTTTGAGAAGTGTTATGGCTTATATCTAGATGACCCCCCCAAAGCCTCATGTGGTCATAGGTGGGGCTTTCCAGAGGTTGCTGGATCTAGAGCATGTAATGCTGGGATCAAGAGTGTATGATTAAGTTAGCCTACTGCTTGGCTTGGCATAGTCTTGGGTGTGGATAATGGGAAGGCCCACCCTGGGTGTGAGTGCTATCATCCCTAAGTGCTAAGGTAGAAAAAGGACTGATATAGTCACTGCTTGTCACTTGCTGCTTACTCCTTTTGCTGCCTCCTGCCTGCCATGAACTGCTTCTCCTCTGCGATGCCCCTCTGCCATGCCATCCTGCCTTGGAGCCAATTACTACCTGAAACATTTACAAACTGTGAGCCAAAATAAACTTTTTCTCCTTTCACTTTTGGCACTGGATATTTTGTCTCAGCAATGAGAAAAGTAACTAAGCAAGAGGTATTTAAGGGAAACTATATTTTGAAGTATTTAAGGGACACTATAGATTCTAGCCCTGCCTCAGCCGTATTTTATGCAGACCTCAAATAATTTCACTCTTACTTACATAACTTACTACTTATGAGCTAGCCAAACTAAATGTACTTTATAGTTTTGATCAGTATTTGTTATTTTGATCAATATTAAATATTTTGATGATATTTTATGTTATTTCACTATAGTCATGTGATGGTAGGTATATAGAATATTTTCTTTTAGTGCTGGAGATGGAACCCAAGACTTCCCATGTTAGGCAAGTGCTCCACCACTGAGTTACATGCCAGTCCCACACTTCATTGAGTTGTATATGCTATTTCTTTTTTCTGAAAACCTACAATGTTTTAAAGAATCAACTTTAAAGTCACTTTTTAATGGAATTTCTACCGCACATGCCTGTCACCTCTAAGTCTCTTCACATTTGCTTGTATTCTAGCCTCTTCCCCAGACTGCATGGGACCATCAGCTCAAGCTGCCTATCTCTCCTCCTCCTAGCCCAACTCCTGGGGCAGAGCTCAATGAATAGGTGAGGTCTGTCTGTCCAGATGCTTGCCTGAGAGGACGGGGTAGCATCTCAAGGTAACATGGGTCACAGAAGGGGAGAGTGCTCACCCTTTTCACTCTAAACATTCATCTTTCCCATTGCTCTGCAGGCTGACCACTCTCCAGTCTGTTTGAATTTTCTTGTCACCAAAGTGCTCTTTCTTTAGGATTCTTTATAGTTATCTAAAGTTCTCACTGTTCCTAATTCAGCGCAATCACAGTCTTCTTAGGAAGTTTCCTAGCGCTTCACACTGAGGGGTCTTTCTCGAGGGCCTCAGATATGCTATCATGAGCTGAGTCTGGGGTGATGGATCTCACCACTGGCGTTGGAGGTCAGGGGTGTGCTTTACCCTAGCATCCCACACAATCCCTAACAAGGATGAGGAGACTAATTCCAGCTGAAGAAAACAATGTGGAGTTGATGCTGTTCTGAGTGTTCTGTTACAAGGCAAGCTCTTGTAGAGATGTTCCAGAAAGAGCACCTTAGAACAGATTAAAGTTCGTCAGGCACATTTCAGAGACAGCACGCCCTTAGACTGTCCTCCACAGGTATAAAAAACTGCGAAGTAACATAAATGAGCATTCACTTGATAGTCAGAACCAGCTTCTTAAAACTGTGAAAGCATAATGTTGTTGTTTTCCTT